CAGAATGTTGATTTTTAATCATTTTTACATTTTTTGCACTGCCAGACGAATAATAAAAAATTCAGGGGACAAACTTCGCGACGATATTTTATAAATAAGATATAGAGAAACGTCATAATTCTTTTCATATTAGTAATCTTCAACTATTCAAAACATTTGAAAAGTGATATTTATTCTCAATATGAACTGTCATTCTCCGAAAGGGACATGCCAGACGAATGAAAATTTAGCACTATAATGTGTATTTTTTGCAAAAAAATATATTTTTTTCATCGGTTTTTTTTCTGTGCCATAATAGAAACCATTAAGATGACCTACACATCAAAAATTGACAAACAGTTACCGCTGCCCTTAAAATTTAGGTCAATTTTGAGGGCAGTTTTAACCTACACGTCAAAAATTGACAAACAATTCGCGCTACTCTCAAAATTTAGGTCAATTTTAAGGGCAGTTTTAACCTGTAGGTCAAAAATTGACATACTAATCCCTCTGGTGTCAAAATTTAGGTCACTTTTAAGGGTAGTTTTTACTTAAACGTCGAAAATTGCCATACTTATAGCTCTGCCCTCAAAATGTAGGTCAATTTTAAGGGCAGTTTGACCTAAACGTCAAAAATTCACAAACAGTTCTCTCTGCCCTCAATATGTAGGTCAATTTCAATAGCAGTTTTAAACTATAGGTCAAAAATTGACATACTAATCCCTCTGCTCTCAAAATTTAGGTCAATTTTAAGGGCAGTTTTGACCTTCACGTGAAAAATTGACAAGAAAATTTCCTGTGACCTACTGTTTCCTCAAAATTTACGTCAATTTTAATGGCAGTTTTGACCTATGGGTAAAAATAAGGCCCACAAGCGTGTATGACATTACGTTGAAATATTAGGTAATTTGACATTTTCTTTTACTTACAGGTCATAAACGGCCAAATAATGGCCATTACATGGGAGAACACGGCCGCCATTTTCATACGGTCAAAGAAATGAATGACTTTCCTCCCTGTCGTCTGCTATCAGAAAGCGCCATTTTTGTGCATGTGGAATACAAAAAATTTGAAACTTACAAAAATTTATTTTTATTTCACATGCACAAAAATTGCGCCTTCTGATAGCAGACGACAGGGAGGAAAGTGATTCATTTCTTCGACCGTATGAAAATGGCGACCGTGGGCAAGAAAAAAGTGATTTAAGTTAAAAAAATTTTTTTAAACAAATAGCCATATTTTCAACACGGTGTATTTGTTTATAAATCAGAGCAGTAAAGTTATAGAGAATCATTTTCTGAAGAAAATATGCCATGATTAACTTATTACTATGCATTTATATTAAGGGATAACACTACCCTAGAGTCAGAAAAAGAGACCTATATCTTTGATGATTTGTTTTGAGAAAATAGAAACTAGAATAGGATTTCTTTTTGGAGGGTTTACTAAATACATATTGAAGAGTAGAAAAAAAATTGTATTAAAAATTTTATAACAAAATGGCGGCGGTAAATTTTATAGCAGAAGTCGACTACTTTTTTAACGGCCGGAAAGGTTTCTTGAACAGTTTAAGTCCTGAAACACAAAACAAAGAAATTTTATAATCTATGTAATATAAACTTGAAAAGTACATAGGATTTTTTTAATTTGATGTAAACTTTAATTTTTATAAACAATTTACTTTTTATTTTGTGTCGAAAAATTGATTATTTTACTAAAATAGAGCACCATTTCTACAAAAATTGATATAAAAAACTCCTATGTACTTTTCAAGTTTATATTATATAGATTATAAAATTTCTTTGTTTTCTGTTCCAGGACTTAAACTTTTCAAGAAAACTTTCCGGCTGTTTTGGTAAAGAAAAAAATAGTCGATTTTTCCTATGCAATTTACCGCCGCCATTTTGTTATAAAATTTTTAATAAAATTTTTTTTTCTACTCTTCAATATGTATTTAGTAAACCCTCCAAAAAGAAATCCTATTCTAGTTTCTATTTTCTCAAAACAAATCATCAAAGATATAGGTCTATTTTTCTGACTCTAGGGTAGTGTTATCCCTTAATATAAATGCATAGTAATAAGTTAATCATGGCATATTTTCTTCAGAAAATGATTCTCTATAACTTTACTGCTCTGATTTATAAACAAATACACCGTGTTGAAAATATGCCTATTTGTTTAAAAATTTTTTTTTAACTTAAATCACTTTTTTCTTGCCCACGGTCGCCATTTTCATACGGTCGAAGAAATGAATCACTTTCCTCCCTGTCGTCTGCTATCAGAAGGCGCAATTTTTGTGCATGTGAAATAAAAATAAATTTTTGTAAGTTTCAAATTTTTTGTATTCCACATGCACAAAAATGGCGCTTTCTGATAGCAGACGACAGGGAGGAAAGTCATTCATTTCTTTGACCGTATGAAAATGGCGGCCGTGTTCTCCCATGTAATGGCCATTATTTGGCCGTTTATGACCTGTAAGTAAAAGAAAATGTCAAATTACCTAATATTTCAACGTAATGTCATACACGCTTGTGGGCCTTATTTTTACCCATAGGTCAAAACTGCCATTAAAATTGCCGTAAATTTTGAGGAAACAGTAGGTCACAGGCAATTTTCTTGTCAATTTTTCACGTGAAGGTCAAAACTGCCCTTAAAATTGACCTACAGTTTGAGAAGAGCTATAAGAGCTATAAGTTTGGCAATTTTCGACATTTAAGTCAAAACTACCCTTACAATTGACCTAAATTTTAAGGGCAGAGGGGTTCGATTGTCAATTTTTTACCTTTTGGTTAAAACTGCCCTTAAAATTGACCTAAATTTTGAGAGCAGAGGGATTAGTATGTCAATTTTTGACCTATAGGTTAAAACTGCCATTGAAATTGACCTACATATTGAGGGCAGAGAGAACTGTTTGTGAATTTTTGACGTTTAGGTCAAACTGCCCTTAAAATTGACCTACATTTTGAGGGCAGAGCTATAAGTATGGCAATTTTCGACGTTTAAGTAAAAACTACCCTTAAAATTGACCTAAATTTTGACACCAGAGGGATTAGTATGTCAATTTTTGACCTACAGGTTAAAACTGCCCTTAAAATTGACCTAAATTTTGAGAGTAGCGCGAATTGTTTGTCAATTTTTGACGTGTAGGTTAAAACTGCCCTCAAAATTGACCTAAATTTTAAGGGCAGCGGTAACTGTTTGTCAATTTTTGATGTGTAGGTCAAAACTTTCCTTAAAATTGACCTAAATTTTGAGGGGAGAAACTACAGGTCAACTCTTGACCTGTAGGTCAAAAAATCTTGAAACAGCGGCGGCGGCGTTGGCGTCGGCGGCGATATCTTTTTGTAATATAGGGATATAGTATATAGTATATATATATATATGTACAAAGAATGATTTGGGGACGTATGTTTTTTCGCGCATATATAGCTTCCTCATTATCTAAATAATAAGGCTAAAGAGAATAATTGTAATATACTCTAAAATTTCTAAGTTTAAATCGACGATAAAGTAGACAATGCATACTTTAAGGACATAAAAATGTGTATATCGCAAATGTCCTCAAACCATACGTTATACTTGTACGTCTTTCATATGTACAAAGCATTATATGAGGACTAAGTTATATATAAAACGTATAATTTAAGGACAATTTCATACGTAAAACGCATACTTTGAGTACAATTTTAAAAATTAATTTGTCCTCAAAGTATACTTTATACATATAATAAAGGCAAACTAACATGCATGAAACCCCACAATATAGTCCCTAAAGTATGCGTTGTATAAATATAGATAATTTAGGCGTTACATAAATATATATAAAAAGGACAATGCTCATATCAGTTTTATACTCTTTTCATACTTTTATGCGCAGTAATTTTGTGTGTAAAATGGATCATGCGTAAAAGTTATATTTTAAAGAGCAACAAGCATACAATGGGGACTCTATATGTTTTACAATTAGATTCTCTGTAGTAATTCTATAGGTAATCTAACGGAAAGGAAAAGGCATATAAGTCACCGACTGGGCAGTATTCGATATTGAAAAAATCTGTTATTAAATTTCAATGTACTATTGTTCCATTAAAGACAGACAAGTCGTATATCTTTACGAAAAGAAGGTTTCACCTAAAAAGACAGTTCACGCACAGTAAAACAAGATGTGAAGGATTCATCAACTTGATTCTCTATGCATGTGTGCAATGCATAGTCAAAGTAAACAAGATTTAAGTTTTTGTTTCTCGAAAATGACTTACGGTCCTATGTTGCCTTACTTGTATATTACATTTAAAGCTTGTTTTGAACAAAATATTAAAAATGACCTACTTTTAAAAACTCAAATTGAATTTTTTTTCAATTTTCTGTCTCTTATTTTTTAAAAATATACTTTAAAACAAATCTTTTAAAACATTGTAATCGAAAATCGTATGATAAATTAAGACTAAAGTTATTGCATTTCAAAAAGAAGTGACTAAAAAATTTTAAGTCCCGCATCTCCGACATTTTTTAAAATTTTGTTACTCAGATATCTTGTTTCTAATAATAAAGGCCGTAGCAGTATAAGCATGTAAAAATTGCCCCCTCCTGGATTGGGTCCATATTTAGGGAATAATTTTGACCTATTATGAGAATTATTTTCACTAAGTTTCAACTCGAAAAAAATTTTGTTTTTGAATTAAACGATTTTTTTGAAAAATTAAAAAATTTGTTTTTCCTCCAAAATTAATGAACCGATTTTCATGAAAAAGTTTTTTTTGTACAATACAATATGAACAGTTGATAAAAAAATTGACGACCAAATTCTAACAAAGAAAGTCAGTAAAATGTCAGTAAAAAAATTTTTTTTTTAAATTTTTTTAAAAAAACCTTTTTTTTATCGAATTTTTTTTGCACTACCGCCATTTTTTTCTATACAATAATAGTTATTTCAAAAGTAACATATTTTTTGCAAGATAATTGAAAGGGTACTTCATACTTTAAAACATAAAAAATCAGTCAGAGAAGCAGGCGCAATGCGCCTACATCGCATCGTAGGGTTTTGTGGCCTAAAATGACAAAAAATAAATAAATAATAATTTATTTAGACATTTTTTTTGTACTTAAGATTGAAATTTTTTTTATTACCATAGTAACGGTTGCCATGGCAACGGTTTTTATGGCAACCATTACTATATCAACAGTTGCCGCGGCAACGGTTGTTGTGGCAACCATTAACATAGCAACGGTTGCCTTGGCAACGGTTGTTATGTTGTCTTAACCCTTTAACGACGAGATGTGCAACTTTTCAACATGAAATTCAATCTCTTACAATTAGTAGAAAAAAGCCATAAAAGTTTTTAAAAGTCCATACCCTACTATTTTTTGGGTCGCTCTTTCGAATGGTGTGGTCACAATTTTCAAAAAATGATATTTAAACCTTCTTTTTTCAAAAATACTAAAAAAAGTCAACTTTTTTTAATGTAATTTTTTTCTGTGTCATAACGCTTTTCAAATAGAACAAAAAGTATCAAAAACGTGTTCCCGATAGTTGTACTTGAAAAATATTCATTTATAAATTTTATTTTTTTCGATTTTGAATTTAAAATGGCGCTTAAAGGACAAATTTTTTTTCTTATTTTACGTAAGATGACAAACTTTTTCAAAATTGCTCAAATCTGACTGAAATTTGTTACTCAGGGGTTTTCGTGGTCGCTGATTACGAATCTGATGTCCATTTGTCAAAATTCAAAATAGCGGATGACTTTTTAAAAAATTGATCGGATTCGCTTGAAACTCGTTACTCGATGGTTTTCGGGGTCGCTGGTTACGAATCCGATGTTAGTTTTTCAAAATCCAAAATGGCGGATCTAATATGGCAGACAAAATACAAAAATTGGTCAGATTTGCTTGAATCTTTTTACTCGGGGGTTTTTGGGGTAGCTGATTACGAATTTGATATCAGATTTTCAAAATTCAAAATAACGGATCCAATATGACAGATGACTTTTTTAAAAATTGATTGGATTCGCTTGAAATTTGTTACTCTGCGGTTTTTCGCGTCGCTTATGACGAATCTGACGTTAGATTCAACAAATTCAAAATAGCCAAAGTATAATGAAAAACTAATTTTTTAAATTTACTCAGGTTTGCTTGAAATTTGTTAGCGTGGTATTTTTGGGGTGGCTGATTACGAATATGAAGTCACATTAAAAAATTCAAAATGGCGGAATTATTATACTCTATTTGCTCTGACTCTACCAGTATCAACTTATCTATATTTAACAATATGTGACAGGAAAATTTAAAAGTGATCTATAATACGAGAAAATCGATGTTAGTTTTTCAAAATTCAAAATGGCGGAACGAATATGGCAGTCGAAATTAAAAATTAGTCTGATTCATTTGAATTTTGTTACTCGAGGGTTTTCGGGTCCGCTGATTGCGAATCCGATGTTCGTTTTTAAAAATTCAAAATGCTTGGTATAAAATAGCTATAAGAATTGGTAAGGATATTTTTTAAACCTAGTCCGCGATATCGGTTCCACCATTTTGAATTTTGAATAACTAACATCGGATTCGCAACCAGCGACCACAAAAACCCACGAGTAACGTGTTTAAATCAGGTTTGAGAAATTTTAAAAAATTCGTCCGCCATTCTAGATTCGGCATATTGGATTTTTTGAATCTAACGTCAGATTCGTCATTATCGAACCCAAAAACCCCAGAGTAACAAATTTCAAGCGAATCCAATTAATTCTTAAAAATGTCATCTGTCATTAGGATCCGCCATTTTGAATTTTGAAAAACTAACATTTTTCTACTAATTGTAAGAGATTGAATTTCATGTTAAAAAGTAGCACATCTCGTCGTTAAAGGGTTAATACAATTTAAACAATAGCAAATACTTTTTTGCTAAATAGCAATCTATATCATTTCTTACTTTATTTACTAGTCAGTTGATGACAGGGTTTAAATGTTTATCTAAGACATTTAATATTTAATATATTAGATATTTAATATTTATCTAAGATATTTATTTAAGATATTTAATATATATATTTATTTATATCTTAAGATATTTAACTCTATTTGTAGAAACATAAAAATAAGAAATATGCAATTATTTAAAGTTTTCCTTTAAGTTATGTTAAAAAAATCGGTGGCTTAAAAGGTGGTCGATATATCGACCACTGGGACTGAAAGGGTTAATACAATTTAAACATTAGCAAATACTTTTTAGCTAATTTGCAATCTATAACATTTCTTACTTTATTTATTAGTCAGTTGATGACAGGGTTCAAATATTTAACAAATATAATTTTAGCTTAAGGGGGGAACCTCCTTTAGACGATCGAAAAATGCGTCATTTTTGGGATCTTTTTTCTCGGGTAAAATAACTTCAAACGTTTTGTAATTTATAGGGATCTTTAATACATGTCTTGAGAGTCTAAAAAAAATTTTGGAGAAAAAACAAAACATTTTTAGTATGGAAATATACACCGCGTCCATGGCACCTCATTTTATCTGTGAACATTCTAGCGCTCTGAATTTCTTTCTAAAACAAAGAAACCAACCTTTTTTAAACTTTAGGATAATACCTTCTATATGACATTTCGATTTTTTAAAAAAAATTTCGAGAATTGATTTTTTTACCCACTTTTAAGTTAAAAGTGATTTTTCGTGCATAAAAATTGACTTTAAAATTCCAAAAAAATATGAAAATTTTTTTTTTCAAGAAACACTAAATGTCATATTAAAGAAAATTTAATTATCTTTAAAATGATGTATCATAAAGCCCGATTGGTTCAAAAGGGCGTTCTCAATCGTGTTCACAAAATTAAAAAATGGTGTTTCGAGAAAAATGCGTTTGAAGTTTTTTTTAAATAAAGTGACTCGAATGTCAAACAAGTGAAAGAAGGGTTGCCACATAGAAATTACAAATTATACTGACAGTGGTACTCTGAATGAAAAAAGAAGACAGATTGAATGCTAAAACAGAAAAAATTCTGGACTCTGATAAACATTTCACCAGACGACACATGAAAAAAAAATAATTAAAAATATTGTAACTTCTTCAATAATACAGAAATCGACTTAAAATTTGATGGGTATATTCTTGAATAGTTGTAGTATCAATTAAAGTTATTTCCAGAAAGTCGATTTTTTTGACGCAATAAAGGCGGTTCCCCCTTAAAACTCCGATTTGATGCAGCACCCTAAACTATGCATCTAACTTTTTTAATAGAATTTGAACATTAGCAAAAATTTTTAGCTAATTTGCAATCTATAACATTTCTTACTTTATTTATTAGTTAATTGATAAGAGGGTTCAAATATTTAACAAATATATTTTTAGCTCAAAAACTCTGATTTCATGCAGGTCCCCAAACTATGCATCTAAGTTTATTAATAAAATTTGAACTTTATCAAATACTTTTTAGCTAAATTACAATCTATAACATTTCTTACTTTATTTATTACTTAGTTGATAAGGGTTTTCAAATATTTAACAAATATATTTTTAGCTTATAAACTCCGATTTGATGCAGGTCCCCTAACTATGCATCCAGCTTTTTTAGAACAATTTAAACAATAGCAAATACTTTCTGGCTTAATTGCAATCTATAACATTTCTTACTTTATTTATTAGTTACTTGATAAAAGGGTTCAAATATTTAACAAATATATTCTTCGCTTAAAAACTCCGATTTGATGCAGGTCCCCAAACTATGCATCTAAGTTTTTTAATACAATTTAAAAAATAGCAAATAATTTTTTGCTAAATAGCAATCTATATCATTTCTTACTTTATTTATTAGTCAGTTGATGACAGGGTCTAAATGTTTATCTAAGATATTTTTTAGCTTAAAAAATCTGATTTCATGCAGGTCGCCAAACTATGCATCTAACTTTATTAATAAAATTTGAACTTTATCAAATACTTTATAGCTAAATTACAATCTATAACATGTCTTACTTTATTTATTACTTAGTTGATAAGGGTTTTCAAATATTTAACAAATATATTTTTAGCTTAAAAACTCCGATTTGATGCAGGTCCCCTAACTATGCATCCAGCTTTTTTAGAACAATTTAAACAATAGCAAATACTTTCTGGCTTAATTGCAATCTATAACATTTCTTACTTTATTTATTAGTTACTTAATAAAAGGGTTCAAATATTTAACAAATATATTCTTCGCATAAAAACTCCCATTTGGTGCAGGTCCCTAAACTATGCATATAAGTTTATTAATAAAATTTGAAATTTAGCAAATACTTTTTAGCTTAATTGCAATCTATAACATTTCTTACTTTATTTATTAGTCAGTTGATGACAGGGTTTAAATGTTTATCTAAGATATTTTTAGCTTAAAAACTCTGATTTGATGCATGTCCCCAAACTATGCATCTAGCTTTTTTAATACAATTTAAACATTAGCAAATACATTTTATCTAATTTGCAATCTACATTATTTCTTACTTTATTTATTAGTTAGTTGATAAGAGGGTTCAAATATTTAACAAATATATTTTTAGCTTAAAAACTCCGATTTGAAGCAGGTCCCTAAAAAATGCATCTAGCTTTTTTAATACAATTTAAACATTAGCAAAAACTTTTTAGCTAATTTGCAATGTATAACATTTCTTACTTTATTTATTAGTTAATTGATAAGAGGGTTCAAATATGTAACAAATATATTTTTAGTTCAAAAACTCTGATTTGATGCAGGTCCCCAAACTATGCATCTAAGTTTATTAATAAAATGCGAACTTTAGCAAATACTTTTTAGCTTAATTGCGATCTATAACATTTCTTACTTTATTTATTAGTTAGTTGATAAAAGGGTTCAAATATTTAACAAAAATATATTTGTAGCTTAAAAACTCTAATTTGATGCGGGCTTCCCAAAGTATGCATCTAAGTCTTTTAATACAATTTAAACAATAGCAAATACTTTTTTGCTAAATAGCAATCTATATCATTTCTTACTTTATTTATTAGTCAGTTGATGACAGGGTTTAAATGTTTATCTAAGGTATTTTTAGCTTAAAAACTCTGATTTGATGCAGGTCCCCAAACTATGCATCTAAGTTTGTTAATAAAATGTGAACTTTAGCAAATACTTTTTAGCTAAATTACAATCTATAACATTTCTTACTTTATTTATTACTTAGTTGATAAGGATTTTCAAATATTTAACAAATATATTTTTAGCTTAAAAACTCCGATTTGATGCAGGTCCACAAACTATGCATCTAAGTTTATTAA